GGGGCTCTGGCAACCCAGGTCTTCAACATCCACACCAGTGGTTGATGCCACTTCTCTGGCTTGCAGTGCAGTTACTAGGTACCATGTTTGATTCTGCAAAACTATTTGCATCTTCTCAGATTCTACATTTTTTTTAATTTTATTTATTTATTTATTTATGTGTGTGTGTGTGTGTTGCCACACACACCACACACACACACACACATAAATAAATAAAATTTAAAAACAAAACAAAAACAAAAAACAAAATTAAGGTAATCAGGGAGGTTGCACCAGAAGTCACGTTAAGTTTTCTCCACTATTTTTGGTATTTCAATGTATTCATTAAGTATTTTCTTTTTTTTCCCAGAAAAGATCCAGATTTGCCAGTGATGGTTTATTTGAGTCCTTTGGCAATCAAGTCATGCACCAGCTGAACAAGGTACTTCAATGACCCTTAAGGGTGATACAGAAGGATTTTGTGAGAAGGTTCCAGAGTGCTGGGATTCCAGGTATGTGCTACTGAGCAATTTCTCCACATCTTCACGAACATTTATTTTCCTTTTTAGAGCCACTGTAATGAAAAGGATGTGCTAGCTCCTTATACCATTGTGCTTCTTTTGTCTTTTTGAGGCACTACATAGTGCAGGCTGGCCTCGAACACAGCAATCCTAGTGCCTCAGCCTCACATGTGCTGGGATCACAGGAGAGCGCTGCCACACCCAACTCTCGTTAAGGTTTTGATATGCATTTTCCTGATGCTTTGCATCGAGCATCTTTTCATGTGCAACTGGCCATTTTTAAATAGTTTTTGTTTCTTTTTTTTGGCGGAACTAGGGATTGAACTCAGGCCCTGGCGCTTGCCAGGGAAGTACTTATTCCACTGAGCCATCTCCCCGGCTCCTAGTTGTTGTTTCTTATGAAAACTGCTGACACATTTTCAGAATTCATTTACATTTCTCAGTTCTAAAGGAGCGGTTTCATCCTGCTTTTCTTTGCTCTGACACTTATGCTCCACTTTGGTCTGAAGTTGTGCCCGAGTACTGTACACACTAACAGTTCGACTTGGCTTTGAGCTGTCCATTAAGCCTAACCTCAACAAAACATGACTTGAGAAGAATGCTAGAGTTAAGATCTTGCTAATGCAAGTGCTTTTTCTAACTCCTTTAGCTGGATATTGCCTTGGGTAATCATCATCCGGATTGTATCCTCTTCTGTGGCGCTCTTATTTCTTTTGAATTCTTCTCTTGCCCAGTTCTTCAGGTATTTGCGGTCAGATGCATCTGGAACTTGCCGAATTGCTTGCAAAATCCTTCTGTAGAGGAGGAGGACTTGCTGCCTTCTCAGGAACTGCTTCAGGGTCAGCGCGCCTGGGGGGAGGGGGGAGGCGGCCATATCCGCAGAGCCAGGCCAGATTTTTTTAATGTATAAAGCAAAAATAAATTTTCAGTGTGCTGTGAAAAAAAAAAAAAAGACATCTCCAAGTCCCCTCTCTGATAATGTGGGATACACATAGCTTTGCACACGCAGCAGTGTGCCTTAAAAAGGCCCTGTCCAATCCATGCCTGTAGTCCCAGAACTCAAGAGGCTGATGGCTAAGAGTTTAAGGCCAACCTGGGCTACGGTGGGACCCTGTCTCAAAAAAAATAAAAAAAAATAGGGGGCTGGTGAGATGGCTCAGTGGTCTAAAGCACCTACCTAGAACAAGCTTTGCAAAGCACAGGGACTGC